CATTCCCTCTGAAGCATCTGGCACTGTCCACTGTCAGAAGACAGGATTCCGGGCTAGATGGACCATTGATCTCACCCAGTATGGCCATTCTTATGTTCTTATTTACATGTCATTGGAGAGATCAGACAAAGTGTTTTCCTCAAGCTCTGAATTTCAATTCAAAACAGTCAGGGTCAAGGTAAAGTTTTATTAGGGAGTGGGCAGTGGCAGATTTTTAAAGAACTGGGGAAGATACTACAGGAAAAGCGGTTAATAATCATAATATCATATTGCCTCTACATAAATCCATGGTATGCCCACACCTCGAATACTGCATGCAGATGTCATCGCCCCATCTCAAAAAAGATATATTGGAATTGGAAAAGGTTCAGAAAAGGGCAACAAAATGATTAGGGATATAGAACGGCTTCTGCATGAGGAGAGTTTAATCAGACTGGGACTTTTCAGCTTGGAAAAGACTAAGGGGGGATATGATAGAAGTCTATAAAATCATGAGTGGTATAGAGAAAGTAAATAAGGAAGTGTATGACTACTCAGAGCTCTGGTATGAAACTGCAGAAAAACCGGAGAGTCTTTGGATTAAGTTTAGAAGAAGTTGAGCAATAAGGGTGATGTTGTAGTGGCAGTCTGCTATAGACCACCAGACCAGGGGGATGAGGTGGACAAGGCTTTCTTCTGGCAACTAACAGAAGTTACTAGTTCGCAGGCCCTGGTTCTCATGGGAGACTTTAATCATCCTGATATCTGCTGGGAGAGCAATACAGCAGTGCACTGACAATCCAGGAAGTTTTTGGAAAGTGTAGGGGACAATTTCCTGGTGCAAGTGCTGGAGGAACCAACTAGGGACAGAGCTCTTCTTGACCTGCTGCTCACAAACTGGGAAGAATTAGTAGGGGAAGCAAAAGTGGATGGGAACCTGGGAGGCAGTGACCATGAGATGGTCAAGTTCAGGATCCTGACCCAAGGAAGAAAGGAGAGCAGCAGTATACGGACCCTGGACTTCAGAAAAGCAGACTTTGAGTCCTTCAGGGAACTGATGGGCAGGATCCCCTGGGAGAATAACATGAAGGGCAAAGGCGTCCAGGAGAGCTGGCTGTATTTTAAAGAATCCCTATTGAGGTTGCAGGAACAAACCATTCTGATGTGTAGAAAGAATAGTAAATATGGCAGGCGACCAGGTTGGCTTAACAGTGAAATCCTTGCTGATCTTAAATGCAAAAAAGAAGCTTACAAGAAGTGGAAGATTGGACAAATGACCCGGGAGGAGTATAAAATATTGCTCAGGCATGAAGGAGTGAAATCAGGAAGGCCAAATCACACTTGGAGTTGCAGCTAATAAGGGATGTTAAGAGTAACAAGATGGGTTTCTTCAGGTATGTTAGCAACAAAAAGAAAGTCAAGGAAAGTGTGGGCCCCTTACTGAATGAGGGAGGCAACCTAGTGACAGAGGATGTGGAAAAAGCTAATGTGCTCAATGCTTTTTTTGCCTCTGGCTTCACGAACAATGTCAGCTCCCAGACATTGGGCAGCACAGCATGGAAAGGAGGTGACCAGCCCTCTGTGAAGAAAGAAGTGGTTTGGGACTATTTAGAAAAGCTGGACGAGCACAAATCCATGGGGCCGCATGCGCTGCATCCAAGGGTGCTAAAGGAGTTGGCGGATGTGCTTGCAGAGCCATTGGCCATTATCTTTGAAAAATCATGGCAATCGGGAGAGGTCCCGGATGACTGGAAAAAGGCTAATGTAGTGCCCATCTTTAAAAAAGGGAAGAAGGAGGATCCAGGAAACTACAGGCCAGTCAGCCTCACCTCAATCCCTGGAAAAATCATGGAGCAGGTCCTCAAAGAATCAATTTTGAAGCACTTAGAGGAGAAGAAAGTGATCAGGATCAGTCAGCATGGATTCACACAGTATTCTTGCCGACAAGTTAAAGAAGTATGGACTGGATGAATGGACTATAAGGTGGATAGAAAGCTGGCTAGATCGTCGGGCTCAACGGGTAGTGATCAATGGCTCCATGTCTAGTTGGCAGCCAGTATGAAGTGGAGTGCCCCAAGTGTCGGTCTTGGGGCTGGTTTTGTTCAAGATCTTCATTAATGATCAGGAGGTTGGTGAGGACTGCACTCTCAGCAAGTTTGCAGATGACACTAAACTGGGAGGAGTGGTAGATACGCTGGAGGGTAGGGATAGGATACAGAGGGACCTAGACAAATTAGAGGATTGGGCCAAAAGAAACCTGATGAGGTTCATTAAAGACAAGTGCAGAGTCCTTCACTTAGGACGGAAGAATCCCAGGCACTGCTACAGACTAGGGACCGAATGGGTAGGCAGCAGTTCTGCAGAAAAGGACCTAGGGGTTACAGTGGATGAGAAGCTGGATATGAGTCGACAGTGTGCCCTTGTTACCAAGCAGGCTAATGGCATTTTGGGCTGTATAAGTAGGGGCATTGCCAGAAGATCGAGGGACGTGATCATTCTCCTCTATTCGACATTGGTGAGGCCTCATCTGGAGTACTGTGTCCAGTTTTGGGCCCCACACTACAAGAAGGATGTGGAAAAATTGGAAAGGGTCTAGCGGAGGGCAACGAAAATGATTAGGGGGCTGGAGCACATGACTTATGAGAGGCGAGGCTGAGGGAACTGGGATTGTTTAGTCTGCAGAAGAGAAGAATGAGGGGGGATTTGATAGCTGCTTTCAACTACCTGAAAGGGAGTTCCAAAGAGGATGGATCTAGACTGTTCTCAATGGTACCAGATGACAGAACAAGGAGTATGGTCTCAAGTTGCAGTGGGGGAGGTTTAGGTTGGATATTAGGAAAAACTTTTTCACTAGGAGGGTGGTGAAGCACTGGAATGGGTTACCTAGGGGTGGAATCTCCTTCCTTAGAGGTTTTTAAGATCAGGCTTGACAAAGCCCTGGCTGGGATGATTTAGTTGGGTGTTGGTCCTGCTTTGAGCAGGGGGTTGGACTAGATGACCTCCTGAGGTCCCTTCCAACCCTGATATTCTATGATTCTATGAAAAGAGAATGGTTTGAAAGATGCAGCAAGGATGCATCTTTAGAAATGAAGATCGAGGAATAGTCTTCTGTAAAATTCAAAGGAATTATTGAGCTACTGGTAACAAATTCCTATTATTACTGCATGGTAAAATAAGTTAAACCAATTGAATTAAACTGCAGAAAGTAAGGTTAGTTTATATTTATGTAAGTAATTATCTTTCTTAGCTAACTGATCTCACTGGTTTAATGGGTTAAATGAGTGGGAAATTGTCATTTTGCCTAGCTAAAACTGAATCTAAATCAGGCAAGCTAATTTAAATAAAATGATTTTGGTTTTCATCAATTACACTTCCAATGAAGTGTATAATACAGATCTTGAATGTCTTTATACAGATTAAAAAATAAAATAACAAAAAAGAAAGATAATGACATAAGACAAAAGTATATTCTTGCTAATGCTGAGGAAGCGGGTAATTTAATGCATTATGATGATAATTCATTGATTAACAATCAGTGATTGTGACCACTGTTGTCTAATGACTATGAATGATTGTTCCAAAGAATGAAGTTAATGATAGGTCTCCATCTGAAAGGAGTTAGCAGTGAAGAAACATGAATATTACCAGCACAGGCTACAGAGTATTATTAGCACAGGCTAGTTTCTGTAAGTTAAAGGTGATATACACTGACAAAAAAAATAATAATTTTGCCTTGAAACTGCAAAAAATACAATTTTTAAATGATTTAATACTCCCAATAAAAGTTATTTAAATGTTCATCTCAGCTAACTCCTATTTTAGGCTTCTTATGCATTACACTAAGGGGCTGTAGTTTGCCATGGTAACTGTTTGGGGAAGATCAAGGATATGTCAAGGCAAAAATGTCAAAAGTCCTAAAAACTGCAGTAGGAATAACAACTGTTTCCTCTTTCTGAGCACATTGTAGTGAATAATCCCCCCCCTCACAGGAGCATGGATTAGATGGGCTATTTTTTTTTAAATCATCTCTCCCTTTCATGTTTTCTGGTCTTCCTGTGTTATCCTGCCTGGTGGTGCAGTGGTTGGCAAAAAAGAAAAATTATAGCGTCTGTTTCTGCTATCCATCTGTTTTTATAATGACACCCGCATACATGCCCAAATATCCACCCTCCCACTCACGTTCTCTCACAGAACACATTCATTCTCTTGCTCACATAATTTATTCATCCCATCATGCACTTGTGCAGCTGCCATTTAGTTTTTGTTTACTGGTAGCTGTAGCAATATTTTAACAGATGTCCATTTACACCTAAAGAGCACATCTCTTCTCATTTGCCTGCATGAACAGCCTTAGTTATACTTTCTGCTGTCTGTATCGTCTTTCGTTTGCACAGTCATAAAAACATCACTATTTCTGTCCGGTGTTGTTGTAATGTGGCTTCTTCTCCCTTCTGAAAGCTAAGAAGACTTACGGCCTACAAGGCTTTGAAACATTTTAAGAATAAAAGGCCTCATGTAAGATAAAGTTCTGTTTAATTGGTGCATCCTAGTACTGGCCTCTGTCACTCCCTCAGCCTCCATGGAGTTCCATTTGGGTGGGGTGGGGAGGGTTGACCTGGAGTGGGAGGGCTGGGCCAGCAACACTCCTGGGTCTTTTGCAAGTAAATTAATGCTTCTCTCTTTCTCACCACCCACGGGAGGAGCACCCCAGAGCGAGGGTCACTAGTGTTAGATTTTCTGTTCCTTGCACCCCAGGGGATGGACTCTCTGGATAGGGACTGGGAAAATATACATACTCAAGGATCCAAATAATTCCTTTATAATAAGACCTCCAAATGTCAACATCAGCCTATTATGCATATCAGTCTAATTCCCCATCCTTCTGTAGGGACACGAGCAAAACCGAATGATTTAATATGGAAACAAATCCATTTTACCTAACACAACCTTGCTAAATATATTTTAATAATAACTGGTGTTATTAATTATGTGCAATTCACTGTGACTTGTTTTCCCATCAGGTTAATAGCTTCACTGTGGGAGCTGTAGACCTCGGAATGTTAATCAAAGTGCTAGTTGAACACAATAATATGGGTTATGGAGCTGGATGGTACCTGGACCGAATCACCATCCAAGAATCAGGCAAGAGCGACTGCCAATATGTATTCTCATGCCAGCAATGGTTAGACAGCGGAGTTGGTGATGGACGGATGGAACGAGAGTTGAGACTTCTTGGAAAAGTGAGAAATGAGAGATTGGCAGGAAATATTCAGGGTGAGATGCAAAATCATCAAAACATATTCAAGCTTCGAATTTGATTGTATTTTATGTTTATTTTCCCAGGATTGGTCAATTGAGACTTGATATACAATACAGCTTTATTCTGCATAGCTTCTTTTACACAAACTGTATCCCCAGCACTGTACAAAGCTGGTAAACACAGTTATAATGTTAAAAGAAAAAAATAATAGCACAAAGAGGGAGATTAAGAAGTATATGCTATTCAGCAAATATGTTGTCAGATGAAATTTGAAAATAGATGTTGAGTTGATGAGGCAGAAAGAAAGTAGGTTGTTCCATATGTCGGGAAATGCAGAGCAGAAGGCTCTTGCAACACTGTCATGTGAAGAGACATGAAACATTTATTTTAGAACATAGTGTTTTTACCATATGCGTATATGTTTGCCATTAGCTTTGCTTTTGTTTGAATTGTATTTTCATTTGAAAGGTATGTCTGTGGTACCAATTCTCAATGGTATTTAGCTTAGGGATCAATGGAACCCAGAATTCTATTCAGAATTTGAAATGAACAGAAGACGAAACTTCAGAAAGAATTTGGACACTGAAAACATTTTAAGCCTTTAACCCTTTGTCACGATACCACTGTACCTGGCTCTCTCTCCCATAATCTCTTTTGGAAGGGAGTAAAATATTGATCTGGGTCCATTTATGGCATCTGAACCACAAATGACAGACAAGACTCCATGCCCAGACCTAACCAATCTGGACATCAGAAATTGCATTCAAAACCAGCAATATTTTAATAGAACTTCAGTTACTTTATACACACGCTATGACCTATGTATGTTCCATTTTATACTCTGAGTATTTTGTGTATGTTAGCTGTGTTTGTTATAGGCATAGGAAGCATAATGTACATCCTTCAGTCTGAGCTGCATGTTCTTGGTATAGTAGGCAGATTTCTGTTATAATTTTGGGAACACTGGAACATCAGAGAAATATTGCTGCAGCAACAGAAGCTCAGAATAGCTTGGAAACATGAGTGTAGGACCAGCAGTTACAAACACTGACCTCCTAAACCTCAGTGAATCCATCAAGATATAGTTGCCATTTTTAACATAAGAAGGACCTGCCTTCTTGCCCTCAGAATATAACATTATCCCCACCAAATCCAGATTGAGAATTACCAATCGTTCCCAAGGTTCATGACAAGTAACATTCAGTATTTTAATAACCATAAAATCGAAAAACAACATTCCATGTGCCAGTGGAGATGTAGGAAATTTTCATTTAACTTTCATTCACTTTTCATTGCTATCTTTGGTTTAATTTATTTGTAGCTTTGATAAAGTTGCCTGTATGAGCCTTCAAATCACAACATCTTGATTTATAGAAAAGCTACTTTAGATAATGTTAAAAATGTATTAAAGCTAATTTTCTCTTTCACTGAAGTGTGTACATTTTGAACTCATGGGAGCTGATCCTTGGGTGGTATAACTGATCTAGCTCCGTTTACGTCTATATACACATATAGATATAGATATATTCATAGCTCCATTGATGTCAATAGAACTATGATAAGTTACACCAGCTCAGGATTTATCCTATTGTGTTAAGGCTGCCTAGTCTGGTTTTCAGGGAAATTCTGAGAATAAAAACAGGAAGTCATTGACTGAATTATTTTCAGCAAAGTATCCTTTATTTTACAATAAAAATTATATTAAATGATTCAATCCACACTCTAGCTCACTGGGCATATAAAGAGCCAAATTAAAAAAGTAATTAAATTATACTCAGTAGTGGGCCAGCCCAGGTGACCAAAAAGATCTTCAAAAGTCACGCTTATTGTCATAGAAATTGTGACTATGACAAACATACAGCCTTAAGCCCTGACCCATCAATGCACTCAGCTAGCATGCAGTGTCCCATTGATGTCAGTGGGACTCCCCATAGGGATGCCGTTTGGGGGTTTAATTACAAACATTAAACAAGTTAATTCAAACCAAATGGTGGTGTCTCAAATTAGAGTAAAATTTTAGTGTTAACTTTCAACCTGTGGTGTCTCATCCTGCATTCCCTCTGCACCCAAAACTGATGTTGATTTCAGTGGGAGTTTTGAGTGTGTAAGGCTACCCCTTTGGTTTGGAAAGTAATTACTATTCCTTTTCAATATCCAGTGAAATCTTCCAGTTCTTTTATATCTCTTGTTTCAGCTACTCTGTTGAGTGTTTTCTATAGCCTCAATTCAGGAAAGTATATGTTCAAGTCCATTACTATTTAGGACAGCACTTATGCTTAACTATATGTTACACACATGCTCATATGCTGTCCTGAATACAGATGATTTCCTGAATAGGGGCCATAATTAGGATTCTCAATATGAACAACACATCTGTTAAAATCTGATCAATGGAACTGCTGAACCCAAAAGACCATGATTTCTTCAAATTGGAGACTAACTAATATGACCACTTTGTGGAAGAAGGACTTGATGTACTGTGGTGACCTAAATAAAAATGTCAAATGTGGAGCAAAGGAGTGTTTCTCAGTGGCCTTTGGTGAATGAACATACCTACCAAATTTCAAGAGTCTAGTTTAAGTGGGTACTTGAACAGTTGAAATCCAGTGAAAAAGATTGATAATTGGTAGCCTCTGGTAGAAAGGTCAAAGCTCTAATCTAGGATTTCTGTGTGTACTCAGTGTATGATAATGAATGAGTTTAACAAATTTCAAGATTCTGGTTCAATGGGAAAATGAAAGTCAATTGTTAGTCATTCACTCACCCACCGTGTTACAAGCATCTGTACTATATTGGATATTAAGTGCAGTTAATGAATTAATTATTTTTTACTGATTTGTTTCACTAGGGACTTGGGATGTCATTGTTACAACTAGTGATGCTTCAAGCATGAGCCCTAAAATGTCTTTAACTATTTGTGGTGAAAAATGTGCAAGTATTCCAGTCTTATTTCCCAAAGGATCCCTTAAAAAGGCTGAGATTTATCAGACGTCAGTGGAACTAGATAAGAAATTCACCTCTATATGCAAAGTTCGCTTGGAAATAGAAGATGCCAGAAATGGAGAGATCTGGCATTGTTGTGAGGTAAAAACTACTAAAGCAAGCCCAGATCTTTTTATTTTATTTTTAAGTTCTCTTCTTTTCATAATCTACAGTTATTTCCAGAAGCAGCTTTCAGTTACATTCAAAATTACATAACATTTCTTATTTACAAAGTAAGTAGATCTGCTAACAATGTTGGTGCAGTGATTTCACAATGTACTCAAAACATTTTTTATTAGAATATGTTTGAACAACAAAAATTCTGTAAACTTAAGTTGGATTTCTGGAGGGCAGCTAACAGAGGTGCCGTAGTCTATAGCTTTTCCAGTGCTATCTTTTCATAACTATTGCCACTGGCATAAATGGCAGTGTTTACATAATTCCAAATTGGCTATTACATGTTATGGGCTTATGACCCAAGACCACTAATGAAGTGAGACACTGGAAATGCCTTTTGACAAAAATATCTGCCATTAAAGTTGGCATCCTAGAAAAATAAATGAATAGCAAAAGTGACAATCTTTCCTCTGATGTCTAAGATGCTGAAGCTAAAAACCTCACATCACATCAAAATTGCTGTGGCACTACACTGCACAGAAAAGATACTTATCAACTCTAGCTGGAAAAATAAAAGGAAGTGTATAAGAAAGAATCCCTCCACTTTCAGTTTTCATTATACCTTAGTCCATGAATATTTGTGTTTCATTTTCATTACAAAATTAAGTGGGAAATATTAATTCTCAGTCTAAATATGTGATGTTAAGCTGCAGGATGAAGCACCTGACATTTATCTGCTCGGCCAGTTGTTAATTTCATCTTTTTTTCCATATGAAATATTCATCTAGTAATTCTGTTGATAAAGTTATAACTGCCTTTGGAAGATTATAAAACATGGTGGATCACAATGGAAATGTATGCGTTGAGGATAGAAACTTGGTAATTACAAATAGTGATACCCATTAGCATGCTTTACTGCATTAAGTCATGGCAGTGACTCAAAGCTCAGTTAGAAGAAGATCACTACCATTTATATGGATAATGAGACTATCCACAGTTACGTTAGGTATGATTAAAAATACAAAGGGCATAAGCAAAGTGCTAGCTGTCTGGGATTGGAAAGGATTTCCCTTCCCTTAAGGGTGGGTTTTGCCATCATAGTCCCATTGCAGGAATGCTTGAATCTTCATGTGAGGCATCTAGTACTGGCTATTATGAGAGACAGGATACTAGTCTAATTCGACCACTGGTCTGACTCAGTACGATAGTTCCTGTGTTCCTATTGCTATTTATTTAAATTATACAAGACTGGACTTCACAGTCTAGGGGTTTGCTCTCACAATACAGGGAAATGTCAGGAGCTTCATTCTGCTGTTTAACAGACTGAGAATTAAAGTCTCCCCATCATTGTTGTAATTAAAAGCACTGAAAAATAATTTTGTTTGTTTTTGAATAAACTATCCCACTTCACTCTAACACAATATCCAGTACAAGAAATAACTATAATAGATGCCTCATTTCTGGAGAAAGTATTAACCAAAATACAAGAACGGTTTTTATTCTTCCCACTTCTTGAAGAAGGAAAGCACAGTAAGTGAGGTCTGACTTTCAAGAAACTTTGCAGACATACAGACATCAGTATGAAAGAGAGAATTCTCTTTAGTTTAACTCTATACCAGAGCCTACATTTCATTTATTAATCTTTTCAATCACATTATGGAAAATATAGAATCTCTTTGAAGGCCTACATAATTATGCCACAAACCTATGATTTTTGCTAACCAAAGACATTGAGCTTAGTGAGTGAAGTATTTGGTCATTTTTTTTCAAAGGTAGTAAGGTAGATAATATAGAAATTAAAGATTATGCCATTTTTTTTTCATCTCCTAGTCAAAACACAATTTTTCTGTATATTTTCAAGTGCTTTTTCCAGTCTAGCTTTAAATGACTCAGTGGAACTTTTGTTACTTACCATGGGTGGCTATTCCGCAATCTAATAGCCCTCATTATTAAAGATTGTTTCTAAAATTCAATCTACAGTTTTCTTTGTTCACTATCATCCCTTTATTTCTTTTATACAATAATTCACAGAGATTCAATACATTAATTAACAAATATGCTTAAGATCATGTGATTCAGATGGTACTGATGTGCTAGATTTCTAAATTTTCATTTTTTCCCAGAAGTCCCTTAAATAGGTTTTTTTTCCAAATACAGTTTTAACAGGATCTTAATGACAATTGGCTACCTTTCCTTCTCCTGTCTTGTTAAAGACTAGTTTCAAAAGGCCCGTTTAGAATAATAGTATTCATCTTTTTCTCTAATCAGTATCATGCCTCCTTAAGTTACAGATTATTTATCTATCACAGTTTACATGAGAACCCCAGAACACAGATAGTGAGATTGGCTTATGTTCTTTTTGTATGTGCAGGTGAAACTTCAACACAGAAAAACTAAAGAAATTCTAGAATTTCCATTTCTTCGGAACTTTGCAGATGCTGAGGGATGCACAGTGGCTGAACTTCCAGTTCTCACAGCTGGTTTTCATTTTTCAACAGGTTTGTTACTTGACAAAAACACTGAAGATTTGCTCAAGTATCATGGTTGAGATTTTCAAATCAATGCAAGCGATTTCATCATACATCTTCTATTCATTTTAATGGGTTAATGTAGCTAAATCCTCTGCACTGCTTTGAAACTCAGTCCATTTATTTAGTAGTGCATTTTGTTTTCCAAGTATGATTAATTCCTGTTTTTAATACAAAGAAGTGCAGAAACTGAGCACTAAGAAGATTTAAAATCTTGTGAGTAGCACTCATTTGAGTTCATTTTTATCTTGACAATATTACTTTGTTTCCCTCCCCAAACAACAAAGGAAATTCCAAGGGAAATTACTCTTGGTGCTGCAATTTCAGATAAGGAGAAGTTATATAGTACCTCACACAAGATGCATATATTCTTGTGCTCCTAGGAATTTAAATCCTTCCTCATTTATGATACAGTTACCAAGTTTCCCCAGAAACTTTCTACTGTGATTTGTGCCTCTCTCACCTCAAGACTAGGTTTTTGTAATGTGCTTTGCTTTGAGCCTAACCCGATACATAAAAGAAGCTAGTGCAGAAAATGGTATCTTAAGTAGGTACCCGGACTTAAGGACATTACCTCAATGCTCCTTCAGCTGCATTGACTTCCTGTATTTCCTGGGTGGAGCTTAAGGTATTAGTTATAACCTATCAGTCCTAAATGGTCTGTGACCATCCTGCTTGAGAGATCACCTTTCTCCATCAGCCCTATAGCCATAGATAATATCAGTGAAGGCATTCATGCCAGAGCTCCCTTGATATAAAATTGAGGAAGCTATTGACAGGACGTTCTCTATGAGAGCCACTTGACTTTGAAATTCTTTCCCCTGAACTCTTGCTCCAAAGTAGCACAAATGTGTTGACTTTTGGGGGATGCTGCACAGCTCATCTTTTTAAAGGACCTTTTGGTGAGAGGGACATTGCCTGAGTGGTAATGTTAGGCAGGAAGTGATGTTTTTTCCATAATTTTGATCCCTTTGTGTTCAAGGGGTCTTATTGGCTCCTGCTATCAATAGAGTGGTTACTTCTGGTTTTGTCTTTGGGCCAGATCCTCGGCCCTTACCAAATGCCTTTTGCATTGTTCTAGTGATACAAAAAAGAGCACTTAAAGCTACATTAACCAAGACAGCCAAAGATTCCTCAGTTGAAGGGGAATGAGGGGGAGTTGGCTAGAAGTAGGGGAACGGGACAGGAACATACAGTGCTCCTCCAGATCCTTGGCTGGCAGCACATTCCCTAAGGGATTACTGAAACTCATGCAATTTAAAGCAGCCCTGGGGGTACTCTAGGTTATGCAGTGGCGTATTTTGACCAGTGGCCAAGGTTCAAAGGAAGTGTAACAGTTTCCTCCTCTCTCACTCCCTAAGCTGTGCTAAGTATGGCTTCAGCAAAGCTCAGGATGGAGCCTTTTATGTTTAGTTGTGCTTCTGAATAATTATTAAGGTCACCTACAGTTTAGGATGGATGTTTTGTATGTTTGTTATGCTTCTAAATAAATAAATAAATAACAAGCTTGTTTTTCCCAGCGGTGTTGTGTTTGCTATTTTAGAGTGATCAGTATTGATCTGTTTATTACCTTTTACTCTCATTCTCTTTTTCCAACTAAAAAATTGTTTCGATTGTTAATTATAATCGCATTGGGTTTTTATTTTAATTACAGTGTAGTTTTAAAAATGATACCATTTTGCACAGCACTTTGATCAATTTGGCCAGGAATGCTCCAGAAATAAAAGTATAATCATAATATATGTTAAATTAAATGTATTTCTTAAATGTCCAAGCTTCAATACTTCTTTCTTTTCCCCCCCATATAGTAAAAGAGTATGTTCTGTACATTACTACGGCTGCATCCTTGGAGTCAGGAACAGATGCAGATGTGTATGTCACTCTACGAGGGCTCTTGGGAGACACGGGAAGAAGAAAATTGACAAGGAAAGGAGAGGATCTTTTCACCAAGGGAAAGGTGTGGTTATCATTTCTAAAGGATCTATTGCTCTTCTAGGGCCTGATCCAATTCTGATTGACTTGATTGAGAGTTGGATAGGGCCTCTGGTTTCTAGCCTGTGATGTCTTGTGGCTTTTACAACATGTGGGCGCAGGCACGCACAGATATAAATATTACCCACAATAGAACTCCATTAAAAACATTATTAAGATTGCAAAGTCAAGCACTCAAAAATTAGGAAATACCAGAATTAAGGTTATCTGTGCAACTTTAATTTGACTGCTTGTGCATATTCTTTATGATATATACTTTAATTACAAGCCACTCAGTCTCACGGATATTTGCTGACAGCAGAGGAATGGTGAGACTCAGAAATAACCAGGCTATGGAAGAAAACATTCTTTTGGGGTCAAGACCCTTCTGCCCCATTCCCAGCCAAGTGGGCACAGACGCTTTTGTCCATTCCCCGCAAGTGTGACCCCTTCTGCCCCATCCCCTCTAAGCTGTCCCTGTTCCAATCCTGTCTCTTTCCCGTCCTTTGCTCTTCATCCCAGTTCCATTCTCCTTACCTAGTCAGTCCCAGTCTCCATTCCTCAGACTTTTCATCCCAGTCTCTTTGCCCAGCAAGTCCTAGTCTCACTCTGCACACTCACTGCACAAGTCCTAGTCTCCTACCTTCACTCCTTGTGCCCAGTCTCATTGTCCAGCCAGTTGCAGCCCCCCTTCTGCCTCCTCATTAAATCTGCCCTTCTCCCCAATTCTAATCTCCAGTCAACCCCTCCCACATCTACATTCCCCATCCCCACTGGTGCTCCCAGTCCCAATTTCCCTTCCTGACTTTCTCATCCAATCTCAGTGTCATCATCCTTCAGTTCCATGTCCCAATCTCTTTGCCCAGCCAATCCCAGTCCCCTCCCACCCAGCATCCTGGTACTCATCAGATAAGTCTGTCCTCCCCACGGGTGAAAGTGAGCCCTGACCCCAGCCCCTGCGCGCGGCTGAGAGCCCTGACCCCAGGCTGTGAGCCCCGACCCCCACAGTTCATGATGCACACCTTATATGTATTAGTTGATTCTGTACGCGGATCTTATGATTAAAATAAATAAACATTCTATTATCATTATTATTCTTGTTATTTACGTATTTTTCTTTTTTTTTTTACAAAGTAACTACTATGAAATGATATGGAGAGGGGGGGCGCGATTTTATATTCTTGCCTCGGGCGCAAAAATAGCTAGTTACGGCTCTGCTTTAGATACTTGGGTCAGCTGGCCCTAATATAAATTAGAACTTCTTGAAGTTGCATTTCTGTCAGGGCTGCTTCTTGTAGCTGATTGTAACAAAGCTTGACTCACCGGCACAGCACCTCCTGCTGGTTGTCTGGGAATTAGCTCTTTTTCCAGCATATGGAGTACTCTCTGCAGGCTGGTGTCTCACCTGCCTCAGGCCCCGTGTCCCTCCTGGACCCCGGTGTCGCTTTACCTTGGGGTTCTGCCCCAGCAGTACCCCCACTCTCTGGGTCTCCCCTCCCAGGGAACCCCAACCCTCTAAATCCACCTTGCCTCAGCGGCGTGGGCGAGGGATGTGCTGGCCACGGCTTCCCGCCACCCCCACTGGCCCGGGACGGCGAACCGCGGCCAGTGGGGGCCGCGATCGGCCAAACCTGCCGTGTCAGCAGGTAAATAAACTGGCCCGGCCTGCCAGGGTGCTTACCCTGGCAAGCCGTGTGCCAAACGTTGCTGACCCCTGATCTAGCCCCTGCTCACTGGGGCAGACTGCAGTCTATAATGGCCACTCAACATTGGCAAGGGGTAGGACCTGCTGCCTTTACCTATCCCCGGGCTGTATCTCTGTATCCTTTGTAGGCCTTCAACAAGGCCTGCAGCCTGAGGGTTTACCAGACTGGAGCTCCCCAGCTCCCTTTGCCCTTCCCCAGCACTGCTTCGCTTCAGGTATCTTGCTCCCAGGCAGCTAGTCCTTCTCCCTCCAGGGCTGGAGAGAGACTCTTTCAGCTCCTGGACCCCAGCCCTCTTATAAGGGCCAACTGGGCCCTCATTGAGCTGGCCAGAGCTGTGGCTGCTTCCCCACTACACTGATGTAATCTCTTTTCTGATACTGGTCGGTGTACGTGGATGCTGTGCACGCATGTCTTTGTTGTCTTTGAGGTCATGGGTAATTGAGTGTGATGCTGGGGTCCATGTCCGCTACAACCAGATTTTTTCCAGGAACATATTTAGCAACTAGGTTAAATCGCATTAGCCTTAGCAATAAACATTGGCATCTCAGTGATGCTTGATCCAGATCTTGTCCGTTGATGAGGGTTACAAGTGGTTTATGGTCTGTTATCAGTGTAAATGAATCCAGCCCACACAGATATCTCTAGAAGTTTTCACATGCCCATTCTCTTGCCAGGTACTCCTCAATCTAAGCATATCATTTTTCTGGATCTGTGAGTGTACAAAAGCAAAATGCAACAGGCTACCACTCAGATCCATGTTGTTGTAACACTACACCATTTGGCCATAGCTGCTTACAGCTTCACAGACCATTATGGGTTTGTTCACATCATAGTACTTGAGAACTGGAACTGTTGAGATAATTTCCTTTGCCCTTTTGAAGGCAGTCTTGATTTTGCCCCCATAGCCAAGATGTGTTGGACTTTAACAGTTCAGTCAATGGTTTTGTCACTGTAGAAAGACCTTGCAGGTATCGATCAAAATAATTTACCATCTGCAGTATGTATCGCAGTTCTGGTGCATTCATTTGGTGCATTCAATTCTCAAATTGCTTCTACTTTCTCAGGACTAATTCCATCTTTGTTTATTGTCTGATGCAAAAACCTAATTTTTCCTTGTTTATCTTCAGTCCAGACTGACTAATTAGGCTTAGGACTTCATTGAGAAATTTTTTGTGTTCTTCTATCAAAATTCCATATATCAGAATATCATCAGTAAAAACTACAACTCCATTTGTGTTCATTAACAGTTCTGCCATCTTTCTTTGGAAAATTTCAGATAATAGAATCATAGAATATCAGGGTTGGAAGGGACCTCAGGAAGTCATCTAATCCCAACCCCTGCTCAAAGCAGGACCAATCCCTAACTAAATCATCCACTGGTAATCCCAAAAAGGTAATCTTTGAAAGCAAAATCTCCCAAAGGGTGTGATAAATGTAGTCAGTTTAGCACTTTCTTTGGCTAAAGGAATTTGCCAGAATCTGCTCAAGGCATCCAACTTGTAGAATACTGTAGCTTCCTTCGCTTTGGGGAGGAATTATTCCAATGTTCAGAGGGTATATTTTTCTCTCACAACTGCTTCATTAAATCTTTTAAGATCCACACAAATTCGTATTTTTCCATTTTTCTTTATAACCAGTTCCACACCATGCTGTTGGCTCAGAGATTTTCTCTATTGGGCCAATCTGCTCCACTCTCTTTAACTCAACTGCCACTTTATGAACTAATGGGATAGGAATCTTGAGAGGTGTGTATACACTATATGGTTTAGCATTGTTTCTTAAGGTTATTTGTACTGGATCTCCTTTCAAAAGTTCAGTATCACCAAATATCCCATCAAGTTCTTCTGCCTGTCTCACTATGCCCATCATGATTGTCACACTGCGGCTGAGAAGGTTGTTGGTCTGTGTTCATTTGATCACATACACTCTGAATGCATAGCTTTTGTCTTAATAGGTTGTTCCTGTGGTGAACTGGCCCATGCAGTTCAGAATACCTCGAGGGCTAGTCAGAGTGTATCAGGTGACTTCAGCTCTGGGGCAGGAGTGGGGGTTGAAGGTGATTGCAAGTCCCTTTTTAGATTACTCTGATGTCCGCTCCTGAGTCAATTTTAAATTCAATAGTCTTACCATGAATATTCAGTTTCACTCTCCAAACAGGTTCTGAATCATCACAAGTGATAGATCCCAGAAACAGTGGCTCTTGATTATGTATAATATGAGTCAACTCCCTGACTGCTTTGGTTCAGCAAACAGCTGCAAAATGTCCATATTTCATGCATATATTACATGGTGTGCCTCTGGCTGGACAGGCATCATCTCTCTTTGGGGTATGACTTTGTGCATGTAGGCTGGAATTTGTCCCTTTTAGACTGGGAGTTCTCTCTCCTGGCCTCAGGGTTTTACAATAATGACTTTGAATACTCACCTGTCTGTGTACAGTTTCTAAGCTAGTTTCAGGTTTTTCAAGTTTGTCAAGTTTCTTTAGATTTTGCAGTTTCACAAGTTCACTCAGTTTTGCTATTTGAATAGCTGTGACTAGGGTTAAATCTCTCTTCAGTTGTAGCTGCTGTGAAAGGTTTTTATCTATTTACCCAATAACCAGCCTGTCTCTGATACTTCCATGTTTTGCATTGCCAAAATCAGTTTTCAGCTTCAGAATGCAGAGCTCGCTTATAAAACATTCAACATTTCCCCCTGATTCTTGAATTGTCTGGTGAAAACATGCTCTGTTTCCTTCCCCATAGTGTAAATTAAAGAAGATACCTGTATATCTCCAGTTTCTTTGTGGAGTTTGTTTGCAATTTGAAATGTTGCAAAATACTGCTTCCAGTCTGTCCATTGTGAAGGTTTGTCAAAGCTAAAGTTCTCTGGGGTATTGAAGAGTGGCATGTTGATGAGATCCTGCAACCTTTGTTTCTGTTTTCCTTCTGTTTCTGTTCTTAGTTTACTCCTGACACCATGTCAAGTACTTCTGTACAAAATATGGACTGGCTATAGAGCTTGCTTATATATACCAGATGTGTTCATCATCAGATTATTTTATCCTCTGCCAGCTATGGCTGAGGTTTGTTTAGGATCATGAAGATTTTTAGTGATTTTGAGGTAGAGAAGGAACTCGAAAGGCAGTCAGTCCACTTCACCCTTTATGCCTTCAGCTGGAAGCACGAGGTAGACTAGGACACGTGTGTGGACCAACGGATGCTGCTTGCAAGAATTCTCTTAATCTGGGCACATGGAGTGCATGTGCACACCTACAGTGGAATACAGAAATGAACTACAC